GTTACTGCTAAACAGTTATGGATTATTCATGCCCTTCTGTAGCCAAAGTGGGTGGCCAAGAAACAGAGCAGACATGAAGTTCTGTGTCCATATGATGTTTCTTCTTTCAGTCAGAAAGGAGGTCTGAATAAACAGCTTTTTTCCCCCCAGCTTTATTGAGAAATAATTGACATATAACACTGTGTGAGTTTAAGGTTACAATATAATGATTTGATATATATTGCAAAAATGATCACCACAGTAAGGTTAGTTAACACATCTATCACTTCACATAGCTACAATTTTCTTCTTGTGGTGAGAACTTTTAAAATTATTGTCTTAGCAACTTTCAAATATGCACTACAGTAGTATTGTTAACTGTAGTCCCATACTGCTGGACATTACATCCCCAGAACTTACTCATCTTATAACTGAAATTTGTTTTCTTAGACCACATTCACCTGTTTCCCCCACCCCCACCCTACCCCTGTTAGTGGCAAAGTTTTTGTTAGGAGTTTGTAGCACGGCATTTTAAGTGTCACTTGGTAAACATCTGCTATATGCTCTTTAAAACAATATTTTATTCATAGCACAACAGAAGCTTAAAAGGAGAATTTCTGGTTACTTACCCAGATATAATAATTCAGTTAGCCAAGGGGGCATCATTTTCAAAACAAGCCAAAAAATAATTACATTTTCTTATAATTCTTAGTCTTTGCTTATATCCCCAGGCAAAATGTTGAAATAACTTACTTATACTTTATCAGCAACATCCTGCTATTTAACTGATGGCTTCTCTTCAGTGCAGCCTTTATGTTATCTGCCTGCATTCAGTTTGGAAGGCGGGGATAGTATGGTGCTCATAGCCATGTTCCAAGTGCCTAGCACATCGCAAGTGGTCGTAGACATTTCTTGAAGGAATGAATGATTTGTTTGAAAGATTTGTCAAGTTTGCCTCTATTCTGATATTTCCTATAACTTTTACTCCTTCTACATATAGTCATCTTTAGATTATATTCTGGAAAAATAAGCAATGGCTGTTTGAGGCTTCTCAGAGCCTTGCAAATATGGAATATTTTCATAGGAAAGTACGGAGCTAGGGGTACTAAATGTAGGTTTGTGGAAAGATTTAAGGGGTCTCTGAGCCCCTGAGAAAAATAGAGGCAGAATTTGGGGTGGGGGAAGACATTTTTTCTGGGAAAATACGGTTCATGGATATATCAACTTTTCAGATGGGTCTGTGGACCCCCAAATGATTAAGAACCCACGTTTCAACCTAAGTATCCTTTGATGGATGATTGGATAAAGATGTGGTGCATATATACAATGGAAGCTACTCAGCCATAAAATGATGAAATATTGCCAGTTGCAACAACATGGATGTATCTAAGAGTATTATGCCAAGTGAAATAAGTCAGATGGAAAAAGGACAAGAACCATATGATTTCACTCATGTGGGATATAAACCAAAAAACAACAAACAAACAAACACCCCCACCCCCACCCCCTCCAAACTCATAGACACAGACAAAAGTATGGTGGTTACCAGAGGGGAAGTGGGAAGGGGGTAGGACAAAGCTGGTGAAGAGGGTCAAATATGTGGTGATGGAAGGAGATTCGACTTTGGGTGGTGAGCACACAATAGAGTATACAGATGTCATATTACAAAGCTGTGCACATGAAATTTGTATAATGTTATTAACCAATGTTATCCTAATAAATTTAATTTAAAAAGAAAGAACCAGTGTTTCAGAGGTTGTAGATTTCAGGCTCCAAAGATAAGAAACACATTGGCTAATGACATAAGAAATCAAATGGCTTTTGAGGGGAAGTAGATGACTATATTAGGATGTTTTCAGTTTCTTATGATAGACACCAACTCAAACCAGCTTACATAAAATAGGACTTTATTGGCTTATGTAGCTGAAAAAATAAAAACAACTGGGAATGCTGGCTCCTGGAACTGCTGAATCTAGGACTCAAATAGTATCTTTAATTTGGGGTTTATTCTCCCTTGCTCTTTGTTTTCTTTTATATTGTCTTTATTTTCAGTCGTGCTCTTTCCATATGTTGGAAAAAGATGTCTTGTCTGCAGCTTAAGCTTGCTAGGTTCTTAGAGTTTGTGATTCCAGTGGAAGAGAGATATTCTTCCTAATAACTGGCAGCTGTCCCAGAGAGGACTGGGACTATTCTGGTTCAAGCCATGTCCCCACCCCTAGGGAGATGGAGTGCTGACCAGTAGATTTGCGTGGGTTGAATAGAATTAGCATGAAACTGGGGAGAAGTTGTTCCTCAAAGGAAGACAATGTGTGCAAACAAAAACCAGTGTCCACTACAGTGACTGAAATGTTTCAGGACAGATAGAATATGTAATAGACAAAAGATTTCATATTAAAGCTCGGGTGTATTTAGTGATACCTGAGTTTTTGGTGAACTCGGCGTTATTCTACATGGGTTTCAGTTTTTTACTCAAAAATTTTTTCATTTGTTTAACAAATATTTGAGCACCTACTATGTGCCATCATCATTCTTTGTACTGGGAAGACAACAGCAAACAAAAACAAAGCCCTGTCCTCATGGAGCCTACATTCTAGTGAGGCAAGGCAGATAATAAGGAAGGTAAGTTACTGCAATACATAGTGTGTTAGATGAGGATGAGTGCTGCAGAGAGAAAAACGGAGGGAAGGAGGGAATGGGTAGTGCAGTTTAAATACAATGGACAAGGAAAGTCTTAGTAAGAAAGTGATATTTGAAAAAAGACTTTTTTTTAAAAAAGATTTTATTGGGAAATTGGGGAAGGGAACAGTGTTGGGGAATTGGGGAAGGGAACAATGTGTTTTTCTAGGACCCATCAGCTCCAAGTCAAGTTGTTGTCCTTCAATCTTAGTTGTGGAGGGTGCAGCTCAGCTCCAAGTCCAGTGGCTGTTTTCAATCTAATTCTGGGGGAGTGCAGCCCACCATCCCATGCGGGAGTCGAACCAGCAACCTTATTAAGAGGATGCGCTCTAACCAACTGAGCCATCCAGCCACCCTGAAAAAAGACTTTTAAGGTGGTGAGGAGGAAGCGAGCCATTTAGATATATGGAGAAAGATGATTCTGAGCAGTGGGAAGCAAGTGCAAAGCCCTGGAGTGTTGGAGGCGTTGCAGGGCGGCTTGAATCAGAATCTGTGGAGTTGGGCAGAGGAGGAGGAAGAGTACTAGAGGAACATGACAAAGAAGTAAGAGGATGGTAGATTGTGTTGGTCCTGGGAAGCTGTGGTAAGGACTTTGGGAGATTGTAAGTAATCAGAGGATTTTAAGCAGAAGGGTAGACAGATCTGCTTTACTTTTGGAAGGGTCACTCTAACTTGTGTATTAAGAATGCACTGTAGAAGGGCAAGTGTTGGAAGCAACGAAGCCAGTTAGGAGGCTATTGCTATTGAATTAATCCAGGCAATAGATAATGGTGGCACAGACCAGGATGGTGGTGGAGATGGGGAAATGTGGTTGGGTCTAAAGGTAGATTTGCTAATGGATTGGACATATGAGGCATTAGAGAAAGAGAAGAGTCAAAGCTGACTCCAAAGTTTTGGGCCTGAGCAATTGACCATTGTAATTTAACAATTTAGGTAAGACTAGGAGGAACAAGCGTTGACATATTGTGTTTAGGATGCTTGTTAGACATTCAAATGAAGTTGTCCAGTTGGACATACAAATCTGGATTTCAGGTCTGGGCTAGAGACTGGGCTAGAAATCTGGAGGTTGTCAGCATATAGTTAGTGTTTAAAGCCATGAAACTGGATAAGATCACCAGGGAATAAGAGTAACAACAAAAAGGACAAGTTGTCCAAGGACTGAGCTTGCCAATGTTAAAAAGTTGAGAAGAAGAAGAACGAACAAAGAAGACCAAAAAGGAGCAGCCAGCCAGTAAAGTAGAGGAAAACAAAGAAAAGTCCTGCAATCCAAATGAAAAAAAAAAAAAAAAGTTTTAAGGAGGAGTGATCAGTTGTCAAGTGATGCTGATTAAGATGAAGATTGAGATTTGATGATTAGATTCAGTGATAATCTCCTTGAGGACAGTTTTAGTAAATTAAATTTGATTGGTAGAGATATGTCTTTTTTTTTTTTAAGCAATTTAAATTCCATGGTCTGGTAATTAGAAAACTGTCATTAATCAAATAACAGTTTAACAAATACTTATTGATGTTCCATCATTCTTTAGTTCTCTTTTGTTGTATAATACATGTTATATACAAAATTATGTAAAAAATTGGGTCTTGAATTCAGATGAATATTCAAGTATAATAATGTTGAAGAATTTATATATTTGGAGTAGAATATATGTATTTCCTTTGCAATGCCTATCATATGAAGTGGAAACACTTTCATAAATTAAATTGTCACCTCTTTCTTGTATATTCGGAGGTTTTAAAGCTTAATTTTTATAGAGAAACTAAAAAAGTTTGCGGTTGAGATCTTCTTGAGTAATTAATGCCAAATTGTGATTATTTTTATTCTTTAATTTTTTTTAAGCTTTTATTGGGGGAGGGAGCAGCACTGTGGAATTGGGGAAGGGGAACAGACTAGTTGCTGTCCCTTTGTTCTTCAGTCTAGTTGTGGAGGACGTCGCTTCACTGGCTCATGTTGGTATTATCATTGTGCTCTTCCCGGCTGAGGCAGTCGCTCACCAGCCATTAGATGGCTGCTCATGGCAATTCATGGCAGCTCACAAAAGCTCATGCCTACTGCCGGCCAGCCCCCACTGCAGCCCACACCGTCGCTGGCGACTCACCGCAGCCCAGCTCCAGGTCGAGCTGTTGTTCACCATCTTAGCTGTAGAGGGCACAGCGTCACTGGCCCTCATGTGGGAACCGAACCAGGGCTCTGCTGCTCAGAGCTGCCGTCCCAAACCAACTCCTAACCAACACACCACTTGGCTGGCCTCGAATTGTGATTCTTGATAGCAAGAAACACTGGAGTTGATAATGTTAAAAAGATTTCATTTTTCTAATGAAAATAATATCTATTCCTTCTTTATTAGAAATTCATTGAATTTGAAGACTCTCAAGAACAGGAAAAAAAGGATTTACAGACCCGAGTGGAATCTTTAGAATCTCAAACAAGACAACTCGAACTCAAAGCAAAAAATTATGCTGACCAGAGTAAGTAAAAAATACCCCTCCTCATAAGTACATGTTAAAGAGTGAGCTCTAATAGTGTAGTGACTCATCCTGACATTTGAATACGGTTTCAAATATATGCTTGGAATTGTCATCCCATACTTAAGAGTGAGAGCTGGGAGTGAGGTTTAGTTCTTTTTAGTTCACATTTTCATGTGATACCCATGTTTGTAGAAATGACTAAATCAAAAATATCTATAAGACTCTCTTCTTCAATTTAGCTCTCAGCCTTTGTTTGTAGTTAACATTATGCTATATCCATTATGCAGGATTCTGGGTGTGTGCATGTGGATCATTTCTTCTAATTTTGATCAGCTACACAAAGTTCCATTGGTTTCTGTATTGTTTTGAAAATTTAAAATATAAGAGAAACTTGAGCTTTGAAGTATGTATAAAAAATTACTGAATTCTCTTTTTCCTTTCTGGTGGAAAATGGCATTTAGGGGAACAGAATGTCATTTTTCAGAATCATTTCATTTTTAATATAATTTCATATATTATGCTTGATTTAAAAATAATTACTGTTTCAACCCCCAAGGATGATTTCCCTTTTTTGGCTAAGGAAGGTGGACCTAATTAAGTCAAAATTAGAAAGAGAAATGGAGAGAAACTTTATGGCCTATTTTCTTGTTTGATTCAGGCAGGCAGAGTGCTCTTCAGTTTTCCTTCTCAGCATTGTAAACTCAGAATCTCAGGGAGCAAGAGATTGCCAGCAGTTACCCTTCCCACATCACTCATTAAAGCTACATGGTGACACCTGCTGCTAAAGGACTGGCATTCATGATGGATAACCTTCACCACTAGGCGGGAGTATATGTGATAATTCACTGCTCCCTCTAGGGCTCTGGAAGAGCCTAATAAAGTTAATCCTAGAATCCCTGCCTTCTAGAAGCTTTCTAGAATTCAAGGAGGACTCACATGGCTATTAAACAGATGCCGTAGAAGGGAGCCATGGATGTCTGGTAACAGAAGCCAGCTAGAGGGAGAAGGAATGAGCCACATGTCATCTTTTTGTACTTTCAGGCTTGTAGATACCTAGAGTGCTGTGCCCTTCTCTTGTTAACACTGAATATGTCAAGTGACTTTTATGGTTTTACTACAGTAATTTGAGGTCTTAGCTGTATGATGGATTCCACATGTATATACTAATAAATACATTACTGGAGTTGCATTACTATGCGTACTACTCATCTAATGGCAATTACAGGCTTTTGGTGTATTTCAAGAGTTGAGCAATCTTTATTTGAAGAAAAAAAATTAGCCACTGGAGATATTTTAATCCTTACTTGATTGTGGTTTCGCATCGGGTATTATGTAGTATTTTAGATCCAAACATGAAAGGCACAGTTGACAGAAGCATCCTCTCATTGTTTTACTTGTTAATTTTTCTTTTTGATTTGTGAAGAGTACCAGGTTTTGGATAAGGAAATTTTCTTTTTACTTAGAAAGGCATTCCTTGTCTAGAACCCTTTTCTGCATTAAGTAATCTGCTTCTATGATAAGGGAGATATTAAAGGAAGAATTACCTTGTACTTGATATTGCATTTTTGATATTAAAGTACAATAAAACATCTCTCACATTCAAAGGAATGTGTTGCTTTTTTTACAAAACTAATTACATGGGATGAATTACTAATTTTTTCCACATATACTTTATCTTTTTTATTACTAAAAATTTAAAAACGTACTTTCTGCTCCTTTCTAGTAAATGTAAACAAAATATAGTAGTCTCTTAATTAAGATTTGTTAGCCCATCCAGCAAATCATATCCACCTTTTATGGAATTGTCATGTTCTGTACTGATTACTGTTTTCTATTTTAATTCAAAGTAATTTAAAAAAATAAGGTATCTTTTTAAGGTAATTTATTACTCTCTATGGAAGGGATGAGGAAATTCTTCACCAAGTATTAGCTATCATCTTGAATTAATTTGTTCTGAAAACTTTATTTTTTTTATTATTTTAAGATTTTTATTGGGGAATTGGGGGAATGGGAACTGTGCTGGGGAATTGGGGGAAGGGG